CTTAGCATCTCTTCTGCTAGCCAATTTGAAAAATATTACCAATAAACTGTAGATAACGCAAATTTATTCAACTAAAAAGAGGAAAATGTTGGGCTGATGTATTTTGGAAAACCATCATTCGTCAGGACAAATCATCAGATTCCTAGCAAAAATCTATCTGAGCTCCAGTTACCAGCTTTAAATGTTTAGCAATAGAAATCTGCTGAACTTTTGTCTTTCCAGGCATAGATTGAAACGTGGCTTTGTAATGAAAATAAAGCAGACAGGAGATGGTTGAACCGTGGCCTTCCAGCTCTCAAGAGAATGTCTGGACCATTTCTAAGACATCAGCTCTCCTTTAGTAATGCATTTGCAAGTGTTAGCAAATATTTCCTGAGACAATGTGAGAAAAATCACTTTCTTACCTAACAGAGCAGGCCTGGGAACCAGTGCCTGCTCCAGCATAAATGCCTATTACCCAAATAAACATTCTTGGCATGCATGACCAGGGACATCGATCATCAGGGCATATCCCAATGCAGACAGCACCTACCTACCATGAAAAGGGTTTGAACTATTTCAGAGCAGGAAGGAAACAAAATGGAACCTGCACCTGTCAAAGGTGTAAGAGGGTGTCTCAGCTCCTAAATTTTGGGCTATAAGGCTTTCTTGAAAATTTTAGTCAAATTTCATCCAAAGAGCTTTCAGGTGATAACAAACCTGTATGTGGTTAAAGCACTGACAACAGAAATTTGACCAGTTCTCAAATAAATGTTGTTTGCTTTCAACTACTGTATCTTACAATACACTTCAACTTTAAGGACATTGGAAGATTGATGATTTCCAGATCTGTCTGTCTTTGGCTTTTTCTCAGAGCATTGCTAGACTAGGACTGAGTACACATCTCCTTCATTACTTCTCATTCCTCCCATGTAAATTTCTGATATTTATTTTATTTATTCTAAGACTTAGAAACATGTTTATTATGAAATTAGGAGAAATGCCTGAATTCTAAAACTTAGGTATTACAAAATACAAGCAAAAACTAAGCAAAAACATTAGAGAATGTTTTCAGAAGAGATGTAACATCAGCCACCTGAATCTGTGCAAATTTCTGTATAACATAATGAACAAAGGCATCTCAGAACAGGGCAACCAAAAATATATTAAAAATCTGATGACTAGCTTTGCAAAGCTGTTAAATATTAACAGTAACAGGGTCGACCAGATCTTTATAGGAAAAGAGGAGAAACGTTCTGGAACAGCCCTATTTGATTTGAAGCTCTCTGGGGCAGGTCCTGCAGGGTTTGGTCACTGAGGCAGAGAAAGTAGCCCATTATAAAAGGCCAGAAGAAACCTTGGCAGCTGGGTACTGCTCAGTCCAAGGGCCCAAGCAGGGAGCTGTGGGAAGGACTGAGCTCCCCTCTCTTCAATGACAAGGCACAAAGCTGGTCTGGAGACAAGTGTAGCTGTCTGGATCGAGTCACTGGGTTGAGGTGGCAGGGAAGCCCCTGTGAGTGGCTGAATTTGAGTTACTGGGACTCTCACAGGAAACTGTTCTGTCAAAGTAGAACAAGGCTACATGGAAACAGCTAAGATAAATCCATCCCCTGAAAACAGGAGAAAGCAGAGGTGCAAGTGAAATGGAGATACATCTAAGGTGCCAGGAGCAGGCAGGGGCTTAGCTTTGGGGATGCATTTTTAGACAAAACACAAGTTTATTTGTAAGGTGTGTGAGTGAGAACCCACCTGCTTATCTCTTCATAGCACCAGAGAGCAATTACAACTTCTTTTATGGGCTTTAAAACTACCAAATGCACACGTGACCTGAGCAGACAGTCAGCAAGAGTGTGTTAAATTACAATTCTGAATTGTCTAAGCCAGACCAAAACGGGTACCCAAGGTTAACTTCTACATCTGGACTAAATTGGATTAAGAATGTAACCTCTAAGTTGTCCAAAGTGAGTGGTCCAAATAAGGACCTTGGAGTCTTCTTTTGGTGTATGTTTGGAAAAAAGACTGAGTGGATGTAGCTTGGATAGACAATATAGGAGCAAACAAATTACGTCTGTAAATCTTCAGGGACAAGTCCTGGAGGAGAAGAAGAAATTCAAATGCAAATTCTCTCAGGAAAACATACTTATTTCATGAAACATAGAAAAGGGCAGTTATTTAAAATGATTGATATGCCTGCGAGCTTTGGTTTCAGCCTCCTAATGCATCAAGCAGCTAAGCAAAGCATGGTAGATCTCAATAAATTGTTTTGCTTGAGTTCACCATCTTGCTTCTGCATTTTTTTTCCTAATTACTATTCATTAAAAAAAAAACAAACAAAAAACAAACTAAATCCACACTAAGATCCAAAGCTCTTAATTCTCTCAAGTATATTTGTAACAAATGGGTGCTTTTAGCAGCCATCAGGCAGCACTGTGAATTTCAAACAGGAAAATCCATATCTGATGGATTTCATCTACCCAGCTAAGAAATGTTAAGCATTCACTGCCCATGAAGACATGATTTAAATCTCACTGAAATACATGAGGCATTCAGCAAGGAGAACATACCATGGTTTCAGCATTTATTGCTGAGGACAGACTTGCACTGATCTCTGTGGAAGGACTGTGTGCAGTCAGTGCAGCAGTGGGAATAAGCATCCACATCTCATTTTCCTGAGCATTGCACTGTATTATAGGTGCACCTGAAACCTAAGATGATTAGGGTTCATGTTGTAGTTAAAAAAATGTCTACACAACTAATTAATTGTGGAATTTAAATTAAATATGGGCTTGGATCTCTGCTCATGAATACAGTCTTTTAGTATAGCTACCAAATACATTTTGTGGACACCTTTAAATTTTTTTTTTTAGGTTTGATTACAATTCTATGTGCTGTTACATGTGCATGTGTGCACACATATCTGTATAATGTGCACAGTTATTTATCTAATTAACATTCACAGTTCTGAGTCATCAATTTAACTTTTTCTAAGGACTAAAAGAACAGGAACCCATACAGACTTTCCAACCAATCAAAAAAAGACAAATCACTCTTCAGGCAAATCAGGAGTCTTGACTTAAGCTTACCTGTACTTGGATCTTTGCCAATTTTTTTAAATCACCTTTCAAGAAATACCCCAAAAGTCTACAGAAATGTCTCTGAGCTTTAGGCACAGTATCTGACAGCAGACAGTAATGTTACTTCATTACAAAATTAACTCTGAAAGTTTTGGTGGGGAAAAAACTAGAAAGTTTAGCTCTTTGAAAGTGGTATTCAAATTCAAAGCTTGTGGGTGGAGTTGGGGTGTGAAGGTGCATAAATAGGGAGTAGGAACAGCAGCATTCACACTGGAACCAGGAACACCTTCACATCCTGGCAGGAGCCTGGCGGAGCAAACAAGGTAAGGCACTGCTCCGTCCCTGCCCCAGCAGCGCCCGGGGAGCTGGGAGCCCCAGCCAGCTGGAATGGGGAACCTGAGCAGCCTAAAGGAAAGGCTGCAGCAAAGCAGGCACAGTCCAGCACAGCTTGTTGGGAAGGGAAATCTCTAGGGAAAGATTGGCTTTGCAGGTTAAAAAAAAAAAAAATACAGGAGAAGAGGGGTTCTTTTGGAAAGCTTTTCAAAAGTGCACATAGTCTTCCAGAGGCAAAGTTTTTAAGGAGCAAGTCTAATGTTCCTCTGTCTTTGCTTTCTGCATGCTGCCTCCACAACAGCCTAGTGTGCCTGATCTTCAGTTTCCTGGTTGTCCCTTACTTTTTTATTTTATCTTTTTTTCTTTTTAAAGGAGCATTGCTTCCGCCATACAGCTCTAGCCAAAACAATTCTTGAGGCAACCCTGACAATCCAGAGTTTAACTGAACTTCATGCAATTCTCCACTCTGCCAAGGAGGCTTCTCTTGGGGCAGAAATACAGTCTGCTGCAAAAGTTGTATTTCATACCCATGAAAAAGGGACTCTTTGGATGTTTGAGCTCTATTGGATATCCCAGTAGCAAAGAGCATTGTGTCACTCATGGAAATGCAGCTAATGTCTCCTCCTGCAGTTCCTACCTGGAAAAACACTTCTGTTTTCCTGCAGTTTAGTTTTCATTGTCTGAACTTTAAAAACAATCAGCCTGTTGGGGTGGGAGATGTTATGTAGGCTTGGTTTTCCTTTTTTCTTTTTTTTTTTTTTTTTGGTTAATGAATCTTTTCAATGTTCTGTATTGATTTTAGAACATCTTAAACTTTTTGTGCCCATTATATTGGTTCTAGTTTCTAGGAGGAAATGTAATGAGAAAACAGAGGGTCATGTTGCTGAAGTGATTTTCCCCTTCAGCTGAAATGAGGAGCTTTCCTTTAGACCTGTCTCATCTCCAGGTCCCAGCCTGGCTCAGGAAAAGCTCTCTGCTTTGTGCTGCTTCCACCCCCAAGCTCCATTTCAGTTTTCACTGGGCAGAACATCAACACCTCCCAACTCCTTTTGTTATACGTTCTGCTGGGTTTAAGGATTAGGTGATATTTTTAAGGGAAAAAACCAGGATTGGAAGATTCAACAACACCATTAAGCTGTATCTATGCTAATGTTCACTGTAAAGCCTAGCTTAAACATTCTCACTTCTCATTTGGGTGGCTCCCACAGCAAAATGGGGGAAGAGCTGAGACAAATTAAATTTTCAGCACCTGAAATTAACTTTCAGCTGGGTTACTCTAGCACCAGGAGATCAAGGTAGAACTGTGAACTTATTAGGACTTTTGAAATTGCTGTAACTCTGTTATTTTACTGAGCATATTCAATATGTGTAACAAGAAGAGAGGGAAATTAACACAGACATGCACATCCTGAAAGGGCCATGGCCCAACCCTTCTGGGAGTTTGCTGAGCAAACCTCACCCTGTGCCCTGAGGCCCCTGCCTGGAGCTGCTCCTTCCAGCCCAGCCTCACCCCGTTTGTTCATATTTGTGACCTGAGTCTTTAGTGGCTTTACCCAGCCTGCCTGTCCCCACCTGCGGCACCACAGCCACCCGTGCTTCTCTCTCCTGTTCCAGGGGCAGTCATGGAGAGGAGTTACGTGTCCGTGCTCTTGCTGCTCATCGTCATCTCCTGTGCTCTGGCAAAGGATGTGGGCAAGAAGGATTCAAAGGACACTACCACTAAGCCAAAACTGCCCCAGACACTCTCCAGAGGTAAAAAACACACAACTGAACAAAAACCTCCACCAAATTTTTAAACAAGTGCAATCTTGTGAACATTTTGTCTACTGTGCTGTTCTAAAAAATTTTCTTGCAACTCGTTCTGCAAAACCTTTTCTAGTATTTCCTAGCTCCCACTCCTCCTTCACTCCTGATGTGAAGCCCTCTGGCAGGGGATCGTTCCGAGGGCTTCACATCAGGAGGTGCAGCACCTGCATCCAGGGTCCCCAGCCCCTTGTGAGGCGCTGTCTGAGGGTGTGTCTGTGTGTCTGTCCCTCCTGCAGGCTGGGGAGACCAGCTCATCTGGACGCAGACCTACGAGGAGGCGCTTTTCCGCTCCAAGCACAGGTACTCACCCTGCCATGCCCACCCCGAGCCCCCCGTGCCTCCCCTGCTCCTAACAAGGGCTCTTCTTTTCCAGCCAGAAACCCCTGATGATCATCCACCACTTGGAAGACTGCCCACACAGCCAAGGTAATCTTTTTGCACTCGGGAGGGGGAAAAAAAAAAATTAAAATGTTTTAATTTTCTGAAAAAACTCTGCTTAAAAAAAAAATCAGCCTCCATTCTGCTTAAACCTTAGTGAAGTACTATCTTGCATAAGCATGGAAAGAGTGTTTGAAGTTACTGTACCACAAAGGTGTTTTCCAATGTGTAGAAATAAAATAAAAATGGTAATTCAGTATTGCATGATACCAAATGGATATGGAAATCAGTACAGATCAGTAGGGTTTGACCCCTGACAAATCCGAATTTGGTTCACAGCACAATCAGCCAAAATCAACAGCAAGACCAGTAGCAAGAAATAACAATTTGTCAGAAAGACCATATTCAGACCATATCATCAGTGATTGAGACTGAATCCAGCTAGGTACTAAATCAATCCAGGCTGAAACTGAGCTCTTCCAGGATTTCTGGTACCTGGGACTGCTCTTTTCCCAGTGTCTTTGAATTTATCTGAGGGCCTTCCATTCCTGCAAGTCAATCCACATGGCAAGATCTTTGCAACCATCCATAGTTCCAGTAACTGCACAAGGGTCTTTGTACAAGGATTTGCATCCTTCCAAAGATTTGACTCTGAAGCCCTACATGCTGTATTATCAAGTACCTTATGATCTATAGCCAGAAATCACAATAGTATAACAGGAGGTTTGAAGAGTCAAATGCTCAAATTCAAACCTAAGCAGAGAATTTGAGAGCCAGCTGTACTCTCCAAAGGAAGATGGGACATTTTGCACTATTGTAATTACTCTTTAAGGCAGAATAAGAATTAATGGATCATGTTCCAATGGAATGAACTGAAAATGTTTGTTTGCTGCACTTGTAAAGTGGAAATTCTCATTTTGTTTCATCAGTTTGTTTGGATTTCTTTTTTGAGGACAATATATTTCAAGGTCATCTTTTTCATTTTCTTTCCCATTGTTTTCTACTTTAGCCCTCAAGAAGGTCTTTGCTGAACACAAAGACATACAGAAACTGGCTGAAAAATTCATTCTCCTGAACCTTGTGGTAAGTTTCCCAATTACACTTAATTAAGTGAAAGTGACAAAGTTCTGATTTTAATCATGGCTTCTCTGACTTGAGTTTAATAGCTAGGGTTGACTAGGAAAATGGCCACTGCTGTAGCATAACAGATTTCATAAGTAAGTCTTTTTCATTTGTAGCTATCATAAACTCAGAATGTGGGGGAATGTGAAGTTTAATAATAACAAACTCTTGCCAATTTGCAATTCCAGCTGTTAAAAAACTGCATCCCAGATAGTGAATCTTAGACTGCAAAATGTATTATTTGAGCTGTATTTCATAGTACAAAGTATGGTGAAGGAAAAAAAAATTCATGCAACATGCCCTCCTTGACGAGGAACCTTCTCTGTTTTCTTTAAGTATGAAACCACAGACAAGAACCTTGCCCCTGATGGCCAGTACGTCCCTCGGGTTTTGTTCATAGGTGAGTACTTCAAGCACCAAAGCTGATCTCAGAACACAGCCCCTGCTGCACCATGCATCTCAAATCCTCAGGCTGATTAACAGGAACGTATTTCATGACAAATACAAAGGTTCAAGCTGGTTTTGTGGATCAAATATTGCCTCAATATCACCAAGCTTCACAAGTCCAGCATTCCTCCCTCAATGGCTGATGCCACAGTCACTGGAATGGGTAGCTCATCCTGTTCCAAATAAACCTGCAAACACAACACTTAAAACTGAAATGTCAGTGACCCTTTTTAGAACAATCTCTTAGTCAGCAGAAGCAGACATGTCTCACAGAAACATTCAGAAAGCAAGCAGGGGTGCAGAAAGCTTTATTTCCGTTTATTTCCTTCTGCTTGAAGGTTAACCTCTACAAATTCTCTCACCCTTTTTCCCCCAGATCCTTCCCTGACTGTGAGAGCAGATATTACAGGAAGATACTCAAACCGTCTCTATGCATATGAGCCCTCTGACATTTCGCTGTGTAAGTAGAGTGTTCTGACACATTCTGGAAATATTCTGAAAGTGGCATTTTTCATGTGACAAGGAATAACACCAGGCGTTACAGATTCTTGCAGTCAGTACTTCCTGAAAGACATTTAACCAGGATTAAAATTAAACAGGATGCTAGACTTAAACTCAGTGAGGTGAAGAAAATGATGGCAGAGCCCTGGAGCTTTACGCATCCATCTGTTTTAAAAGCAAGCATAAGTCAGTAGGAACTTGCATAATTCAGCAGTGCTCACTGCAAGCAATGGTGAGAACACACACACCAGTCCCAACAGGCCAGGTCAGGCACCCTTCTGGGAGCAGAGAAAGATGTTTGCTACAGCCATCCCTCACTGCTGCACACCTCCAGCCTCTGCCCGTGTGTTGGCATTGATGAATGTTCTCACCAGTAAAAATTAAACCCATGATGTTCACAAATTGCCTGGAAGAGTTAAGTGCATCTGAATCCCTACAGCAATAGGCATGTGATTAAAAGCTTTAATAATAATGACATTTTCTCTGCAGCATTTTTGGTTACTGGCAGAGGAAGTTGCAGCAAAAATAACATGCATGAATATTTTATTTCTAGTGTATTCAAATATGCAGAAAGCGCTGAAGCTCCTGAAGACTGAACTGTAAGGGGAAGAAGAAAGCCCTTAAATATTATGAAGTCTTATCTTCCATGTCTTCTCCACACCTTGATACTGGTGAAGAGACTATTTAGAGTGATATTTAGTGATGTGTAGTGATGGTTTCTATACATAAACACTACAGTTTTACATTAGCACTTTTGTACTGGGAAGCGTTTTTAAAAGCTGAAGGCTTTTATTTTAAGGCGTACAGAAGAATACTGTATGATTCAACTGTAAAAGTGATTTTTTTTAAAAATAAATTCATTTCAAGTGTTTACATACAAAACATTGCTGTGTTTTCATTTTTTTTCCTCTTATCTTCATCTACCATTATTAGAAATAGTAAAATCACCATTTTGCTTCAGACCACAGCTTGCATTTCACATTCAAGGAATTTGGGAAGAAAAAGGCTGCTGTGGATCAATCCCAGCCAGCAGCCCAGCCCCACACAGCCACTTGCCCTCTCACTCCACTCCAGTGAGATGATTCTCCAGGGAGAATCAGAAGATTAAAGTGAGAAAACTCATGGCTTCAGATAAAGACAGTTTAATAGGTAAAGCAAAGGCTGTGTGCACAAGCAGAACAAAACACAGGATTAATTCACTGCTTCACACAGGCAGGCAGGTGTTCGGCCACCTCCAGAGCAGAGCCCCACCAAATGTAATGGTGACTTGGGAAGACAAACACCCTCACTCCAAATGTGCCCCCTTCCTGCTTCTTTCCCCCAGTTTGTATGGTGAGTGTGGTGCATCCCCTTATTCAGCTGGAATCAGCTGTCTCAGCTCTGTCCCACTTCTCCTGCAGCCCAGGTCTACTTGCTTGGCAGGGCAGTGTGAGGGAGCAGCAAACCTCGACTCTGTGTCAGCAACCACAGAAAACAACCTGTGTTATCAGCACTGTTGTGGCTGCAAATCCAAAGCTGCAAATCCAAATTCACCACACAAGCTGCTGTGAAGAGAATCAACTTTACTCAGCCAAACCCAGCAGAAAGGAAAGCAGCTTTTTATCTCCAGTTCCAGAAGCTAGCTAAGCTATTACTCAGCCTACTTTGTCTCAAATTATTTTCTAGTAGCACCAGCCCGTGTGGAGCTTTCAATATCAGCCCTCTCTTTACAGCTATGATAGCAAGAAGTAAAAATCTTTCACAGAAAAGTACTTGAGACTAGAGAATGGGATTGTTTGCATACAGAGCTTGTTTTTCTTTTGAACTGGCTGTATTCTGAAGTGATTTAAGATATGACTGCTTCCCTTAAAATGTTCCTGCTTACATCAGATTTCAGTAAAGCCTTGAGATGATTAAGAAAGGGATACCACACTGACTATTGGCTGGTTTCATGATCGCTTATTTATAAGCCCAAAAGGGACAGGAGAAGTCAGAACTAAAATAAACGCTGCAGATGAACACCACGAGAGTATACATTTCATAAAGACTTACACAAAAAGACTTTCCAGCCCCAAATATCTACTATCTCTGAATTCAGGAGCAGGATCAGTGAGAAACACTTTGGCCAGGACCATGCCTTCATTATTTTCTCATCTCTTTGGCAATAACACCATTCTTACCACTTCTATTACTATTACTGCCACAACTACTAGAAGAAAACACTTGGGAGGGCAGGACAGTGAGAGAAGCAAGGCTTTCAGCTCGAGGGAATCTCTCAGCATAATCAGAAGGGAGGTACTTGCTAATAGGTCTTTGGCAAGCTGTGCGAACCCTGCCTACCAGAGAACCTCAAGGAGGTACCTGGAAAGGGTCCCAGACATGGAATTCAGCATTCCTTCAGCACTTCAGTAAGATGCTACTTTCTATTGCAGCATCCAGAAGACAGAGAGAAAAGAGATGCAGTGGGGGGCAGAAATAGTCTCTAGAATCACTTATCAGTCAGAAAAAATGTGGTCATATCACATAGCAGAGGAACAACACCAAGGGAGGCCAGAGTAGCTGGTTATCAGAGTCATCTTCACCTACTTAACCCAAAGTACTCTTGCTAGAGCTATGTGACATAAAACAAGGGCTGCCTGTGCCATCATGTTTTACGAAACTGTTTTTATAACACTATGGAAGCAGCATCAATTTTTTAAGCAGAGGTGCTGATACTATGTATAACATTCAGTAAATGGATATGAGGCACACAGAGACCCTACAAGGGTCTACTAATGTACATGCCTAGATGCAAACACAAATTAGTCCAGCCTGCAAGTATCAATGAATGCTTTAGAAACTGAAATTCTTTATTACACTCAAGGCTATGCTTTTTTCATCTAGTTTTCACCACAACCAAATCTGCAAGAATCTTAATAAATAAATGGTCAACTTAATCCTGCTCTTTTAATCTTTTCCTCTAAATATGTATTTTTTTGGGGGGCTTAAAGAGGCATTAAGCCAAGCTGAGATACCTAAAAAATCCTCTTTCAATTTCTTTGGAAAACCTGAGTATTATTGCTAAAATACATATGATTGTTAGATATCCCAAAGTACACATGATGGGGGTTTTAAGAATTCCACTAGCATGCAGACAATCTTCTAATTAATTAGGTCTAAAATAATAATGCAAGTTAAGAACACTAACTCATTCCTATTCACTTGTCAGCTATAGTTTAAGGTATGTTTTTACAGGTATCACTTCAAGTTACACAACCTTCCCTTTTGTAATGGTTACTTTCATGTGAAAGGTGTGCAGTAGTAGCAGGATGTTAATCATTATCTGGATTCACTTTCTCACAAATGGTGAAGAATTAGATTGCTTTATAGCCAATTGTTTTTATATGATAAAAATCCGTGTGCATTTTGAAAGAAGACATCTTTCTACATTTTTCCAGAATAGCCAACTTGAAGAAAGCATTTCAGTAAACTAAAGTCAAAAGACATCGAATGAAAGCAGTAGGAATGCTCCAAGTTAAATCACTCCATTACTTTGACAGTGCTGCTGTAAATAGCTTTTAGAAAATCTGGTTAAAATGAAGTCCAAATCTCAAGCAGTCAGATGATAATTAAAATGCATCTCTAAAAAACAACAAAAAATCTTTGAGTGCTGGAAACGTTTTTCAAGAAGAGAAAGCAATGAAGTTCCATGACAAAACCCAGGAAGAATAGGTATAAATAACTTTTTTAAGTGCTCTAGTTTGACATGTCAGAATAGTACAGCATTTCTTGGATACTCAAACGAGTCAGACTTTCTCTGAGAGGCAACACTCTTCACCTTCCAAAAACAAAGTCAGACTCATTGTGTTTTACTATCCCCCTTCAGAATCAGGTTTGGAAAGCAAAATCACACCTCAGATTGGGAATTTCAAGATTTGTGTGTCTGGATGGGTTTGTTCAACCACAATCCCAAAGAGACAATGTATTTTTAATACAATAGAAAAACTTTTAATCATTCCATACTATCTACTGATCTATCTTCTGACTACTAAAACAAATTCACATTATGAGAACATGAGAGTTTTGGAAGTGGTAATATTTTCAGTATTTTTGCATTGGTGCACGTTTACACTCCAGTATAATCCTCCATATTTATGAAACCAGATCCACCCAAAACTAAGCACTACAAAAACAATTAGGAAAAAAGTCAAAATTGAAGCAGCAAGGTGGTGTTATTTTAAGCTTCATTAACCCTCTCCATATGACAACTCCTTGGCTTTATTACTGTAATGCACAAAACACAGAGCCTGTGTAGACGAGGAAAATTAACTGCTCTTAAAGGCAGCCATGAGATCATCATTGTCCTCTTGGCATGTTTTAGAAATGGCTGGAGAGAAACTGAGGGCAACAGAACAGCAACCAGGAGAAGAAAAGCACTGTGTACATTTTGTTAGACTTCAGCAGGCCTGAAGGCTCTCAAGGTGTTTCAGCACACGAGTGGGCTTTACCCTGGATCTCCACGTCTGTGTTTGAGCCAGACACAGCTGCTGGGTATGCATAGCAGCAGCTCTCAGAGCAGCTCCAGGAGAGGTGCTGACCACAGATGCTGAAAATTCAGCCACATCTGAAGAGGAGCAGTTCTATAGCAAGTTCTTGACATCCCTCTGCTTTCAGTTTCTGCTCTTCCCCTTCAAAACCTCAAGATAATTCCACTTTCAGAAGCACTCAGCTCATGAAAGTTTGAAAGTGCTTTGACGGGCATGTGTTTCAACTTCTTTTTGCCTCCTCTGCAGGAGTAAGCAGGGATTTCTCCAGTAAAGGGCAACTGACTGTATGAGAATCTACTTCTGTCCGTCTCCAGATTTCCTCTCCACCTTGCTCAGGTGCTGTATTCTTTGGCAGAGGGCCTTAATACTCTTCCCCTTTTCTGCCTGTAGATTTGTCTTTCAGGCTACAGCAACTGCCTACCCCGACAGCAGCAGCAACTGAGTGAAGAATGAATGAAGAAAAGGTGCAGTGCAGATCTGCAATTCAGTATGGTTAGAAGCAAATTGTGCACCTGGGGTGTTTAGATGTCTGCTGTTTCAGCTGATGCACCACTGCTTTCAAAGGCAGCAAGAGGGACCACACTTCCCTTCAGATCAGACAACCCTTCCTACATGAGTAACATACCATTCTAACTTGAATTCTTTGTTTTCAGAAAAGAAACTACTGGAAAGCATTTTTGGTTTTGTTGCCGTTTTTCTTTCTTGTTTTTTTTTACATGTCATTCAATCTCTCATGAAATCAAGACTGTTATCTGGATGACACAGAACTATACACTGCTGAGTTATTACAACAATGACTTAACACCATCTAAAAAAAAATAGCTGTACAACAACTTTCCAGACATCAAGTTTCTTATATCAGAGATGACAGACATTGATTGTGCAAATACCAAACCTCATTCATTGTCAAGGGAAAAAAAGTTTCAAGTTAATCAGCTGCAGATTACATTCTCCTGGTTTTCTTCAGTCATTGTTCTCATAATGACAATATTCATTAACATTGTTTTTATTCTCAACAAAATTCTAAAGCTACCAGAAAACCAAAACAATCAGGAAAGGGGAGGGGTGAAAACTACAGTAGTCATTAACATACACTTTTGTGCACTATAGAAAATAACATCTCTAGCTTCTATTTTTACCTTAACAGGAAAGTGGGCGACAAAAAAGTTTACTAGAGTACATCCTAAAACCTAAGTAAATCATACCCAACCATCCACCGTAAATTTTTATCATTTTAATGAGAATTCACGTGAGTTTCTGTAATCAATGAATACAGCAGAAAATACCTCTAGGGTTTTTTTTTACAGCAGATAACCCAGTAGTGCTATAAAACTCATTGCACAGAGTTTACCATAACAATTAACAAAGTCTTAATCAGCAGTTCAACTCCGCCCAGCTACTGAATGCACCCATCTACTTTAAGATAGAGATTCTTACAAGAAAAATAGTAGAAATTAAATATGAAAACTACACATTTCTTACAGGACTTGTGTTTTATTTTGCGTACATGTAGAATACCTATTATGGAGAAATACCAAACTATGGAGAATCAGTATTTTTAAGTAGATGGTGCAGAGAGAAGGTTTAGTCCTTTATAAACTCATCAAATAAATGCACTAGGGTTTGCACGAGGATCCTTTTGGTTCCTGTATCTGTAAGTCAGCCAAACTCCCAGAATCTGAAAATAAAAACCAAAGATATTATTAAGCGGAGAGTTTCCATCTCATCATCTAGTTTTACAAAATTTATTTTAAACATAAAATTATGACAAAGAATTTTCAGTGTAGGATACAAGTTTAGGATATTTTACTGTTGCTAAAATTGTACAACCACATTCCATCTTTCTTAATTAGAAAAAAGAATGCACCCTCTCTAAGAAAAATCATACCCTAGCAACAGAGAGAAAAACAACACAAAACCCACAAAACTATGAACAACAAAATCCAAATTCATATTCACAATGCAATAAAAAATTTCCCATTTTTTTTATAACAAAAGTTAAATTATTCTTCCCCCCTTCCCAAATCATAAATACTCATAAAGCTGCTTTTAATATAATGATAAAAAAACCCTCTGAACTGTTTAATTTTACCATTACCACTTAACTATACAGCTATTCTTGTGCATTTTCAAATCTTGTCATTCCCCCCAGCACCTTCACATTTTAGCTGAGATGGCTGAGATCAGTGTGATACTGTTTAAGTTGCTGTATCTCTCTTCTTGTTGTCTTATTTACAAACCTTCTCAAAAGTGCACTAAGCAGCAGGAAGAGCATTTTCACATGCTCTTCTCTGGGATTAGAAAAGGCCTACTCTGAGGATTTTTATGCTCCAATCAATAAAGCAAGTTATGCATCATCATGGTACTAAAGCAAAGAGTCAAAAGACCTTCTTAATTTTAACCTACTGTTTAAAATACAGTTCACACTTGTGCAACTCTATCTTTGCACTACAGGCAGCACCAAAAAAAAAATCCTCAAAGACCTTATGTGTGCTAGAGTGGGGAATAGATGGGAAGAAAAGGGAACAAGGTAAAGCAACAGCACTCTTTTAATACTGCTGGAGAATGGTACACTTGAACAGCTAAGTTTCTGAAAAGCTTGAACTTTACAGCAACACATTTTAATGCTGATGTTTATAGTCTAAATAACAAAGCTGCAAGAAAAGCCTTCCTTCTAACAGGCACAGGTCTGTCATCAAGGCCATCAAGCTTTGAAAAATTTGGTCTAATTAATTATCTGATTCCTGACACTGCACTGAGGTTTCCTGTAATAAACCGCCTAAAAATGTGTTTCACAAAGCAAAGCATAAAAAGTGGGGGAAAAGCACTCAATTTTCCAACCACTCACTCACCTCTGTGAAGCTGAAGAAGAGTCCTATCCCACCAACAAATCTCAGCACCATTCCAGCATATTCTTCCATTATTGGTGCACATGGTTTACAGTGGAGAGTTCTAAGACAATCCTGCAACAGATACAGAGAATTGCTTTCCATTTGCTGATGACACTTTGTTGTTTGAAAGCATCTAGTTTGTTCTAGAAGAGACTGCTACCCACAGACAAAACTACAGCAGTTTTAAAAGACTCCAAGAGCACAAGTGTATAAATAAATGACAGTGGAGTACAAACTTTGCAGGGTGCCCTGAAACTGTCTTTCCAGTAAGTTAAGAGCTTAATGTCACTGTAACAACTACATTACACACCTGTTAAAATGCTGCTTGCTGTAACTATGGAAACATTTTTGAACAAACACAGTGTGAATAAGTTATGGTTTTTCCCACTTGAAGAACTTACAGCGGCGCAGGTTTCATTGGGATAAAAAACTCTGAATCCACAACAATTCAGATTTCTCTCGATATCTGTTCTTGCACTGTTGGTGTTACTCCATCCCACCTCTAGAAGTTCACTCTAGAAGCCATAAGCAAATACATATTACATTAATTTTTTAACTGTTTTACATTGCAAGCCCACATACAAAATCTAGTTGATAATGTCCTAACTAAAGCCTTCAGATCTTGATGCTTAACAGGAGAATGTAAATATATTAAAAACAACTGGAGTGTCCAAAGAGGCTGTGTAGCTAAAGAAAGAACAGCACCTAAGAGCAGCACATTCATGGGTATAATTCCTTTCCTTCCTTTGTTTTTGCTAAACCCAACAAGATCACTAGTAAAGGGAAATGTGACTCATCTAGCTGGGACTGGCCAGGCTACACACAAAAAGCACCCTCACATGCAGAAACCTATTGTTTAGTCACTGTGCCCTTACCCACCTCTTATGCACTAAGAACTGGTCTCCATACCACATGGAAGACTCTTTTACTTTCACAAGTAACTCCCTAATGTAGTTATGACTTTTCCAGTTACACACGAACAATTCAACCATGATTACTGTATATTTCAGATAAGATTTCATCAGTTTATCTGAAATTACTGAACACAAGATATAATCAAGACATCATGCTGCTACACCTGTGACAATAAACCTAGAAAGGAAGCCTAAAAACAAATTAATTTTTTTTAAAAAAGTAATTTTAGGACCCAAATGTATTCTTTTCTAGCTACCAGAGCCAAACACTGACCAAGGTCAACTCTTTAATAAATAGGACAATGCTGATTTTCTTAAAATATGCTCTCCCTATTTTATGGAGGACTACATACAAATACATGTGCCTGTGTACATATATATTTATAGTATTATGCTATGGATTAACTGAGAAGGCAGGAAACTTTTCTTACCTGCTGTTCCTCATTTAGTGCCAAACAAGCACAGGAGACAGAAAACTGGACAATAAAGACTAGCAGAAGAATAATCATGTACTGGAAACAATAGTTAAGGATATAAAAGCAAAATTCATTTGCGAGTGTAACATATGCACCTAATGGTATTCCTTACTTCACCAGGTAACAGTAAGTCCTCTAAAACAAAAGAGCTGTGGAAGCAAATTCAGACTCCATGTGGAAAAGACGACCTAAATAATGTTCCCAAAACACAATCATCATATATTATCTCTTTCGGCTACTATACATTGGTGGTATTTCCTTGTAAGGTGTTTCTTGCCTAGCAAGAAAACATGAGCAGAGAGGTCAATAAAAGGAGCTTGAGAGCAAGATCTCCAGCCATCTGCTCCAGCTTTAGGGACTCATGTAATTTCATTATACTTCACTTAAATAAAGCAGTAGAGAAGATATTTTTGGGGGTATTGCATATTCAGGTTGCTTTTTTTTCAATGACAAAGTCCTGTAATTAATTACCAAAAAAAACTTTAGTGTAGATTAAAAATAAAAAAAGTTAAGAGTTGCTCTTGGAACACAGCCTCACACACTTCTGGACTACTGCATCTGAAGATGGCATAAAACAACAAGAATAAACTTTGATACAAAAGATCATGTTTTGAAAGTCGGGGAGTACTTTCAAAATGTGGCTGTTGTGTTCAGAGGCAGATACTTCACACAATTGAGCTGTTTGTAAAGTGGAGGTCAGTTCTTATTCACAGACCACAAAAGTTAAATATTAATAGTTCACCCGCTTCAGCCCCATGTAGGGCTGAGCACACAGCAAGAGGCACCTGTGACACAGTGAGCTACCATAAAAAGCTCTCAAAGAATTAAAAGAGCCTTATTTATAAAAAGAGATGTGAATACTTCTAACTTCAGAGCACAAACAATGGAAAGGGAAAAAAAAAAACTAAAAGTTAAACGGGAAGGAAGTCTAATTTAGACTGCACTTGACCAAAGCAAGATCGCGAATTTCTGCTCTGTTCCTGAAGCCCCTCCCCCGGCAGTCTCAGCTGACACAGGACGTTGTTTACACAGCTCCAACCACGCTGCCATCAAACACTGCAGGGCATCAGAAGGATACAAAGAATAGCAATACTTGATGATGTTTCACTGCACCGATCAATCCAACTAAGGCAATAAAGAAGAGGAAGACTCCTACGGCGATTACCACTCCAACGACTCTGAAACTAGAGATGAGGCCAAAGCCAATTCCCCATGCTGCAATTCCAATCAGCAGCAGGCTCACCAGCTGGAGGGGAGAGAAAACACAAAGTTAGACTGCATATTAAAACAGGCTCCCACACACAGGTAATTTTTTTGCATTTAAGTTGTTTTTAAAAAGGTACAATTTTTCTTGCTAGTGGAAAGAGAGGAAACACAACCCTAAACAAACCAATCCTCCACATAATTGTATAAGTAATTTCAGTTCCAATGTTTTAAGGCATACATATTCTTCCACACTGTCAATGTGGAACTGTTACAACTCAAATCACCTGTAAGTCAAGCCATGTTGTACTATCAGTGACTGACTAGAGACACTAAACTAGATCATAACATAAATGACAAATAAGCTAAAAATCATTAGCTTTAATTCAAAGTGGAGTAAGAACCAAAATTTCAGATCTTTTGTGAAACTGTGGCAGTATATTTAAAGAAAATAGAATATACAGCTATACAGCTCCGAATGTGAAAAAAAGGGCACTTTGCCAAAACTTACTCTAATCAGCTGTATTAATTCATTAAAGAAGTTTCTACATACTTGATAATGTAACACAATAGTTAGCATGGTCACAAAAAACACATTTCAGATCTGAATTGCAAGGACTTTATACAGTACTAAAACAATAAAGGTATCCAAGAAAATAGCTCTACTAATAAGTGAATCCTATTTTAATACCCAAAACACTTATGCTGTTTCCTTCCTTTTAAACATGGTATTCAGGGAAGGCAGGCAGGAATCTGTCCCAGTTACTTCACAGAGATTTATTGTTTATATGGGCAGGAAGCTCCAGCCTTTCCTGTTTCCACACCAAAAAAACACAAACCCTAGAAAAAAGAAATTCCAACATGAAAAGCTGCAGAGAAATCTGTAATGAAGTCCATCCAGCAGGAGGGAAGCAGCAAAGCCAATCCAGATGTGCAAGGCACAAGATGCCCAAGACACTCTGGTTTGAAACAGACCTATGTGTAACATTGCTCATTACATTCTCTGTTAAATGACACCAATTCCACATGCAAGTGTTACCTTTCTGATCTCACAAAAAAATACTCAGCTTTATAGCTATTAAAAAATTCCAAACCAACAATATAAAAGAGTAGGCACTTAGTCTAGTTCAACTACTTGGCTTTGCTCAACAACAGGTAGAGAGCAAGCACTTACACTTGCTCACCATTTCCATTCAAACAGGTCACATTCTCATGAAGCACATTTTACTGCGTACCCAGAGTCAGGAAGAATTAAAAAAAACAAAGGTAATTTCCAACTTATCACTTTAGTATACTTACCCTACATCTGGGAATTCTTGTTGGTATTAATGCCAAATACATCTGTATATTTTTTCCATTTAAGTACATTTTAGAGAACTACCTAAGTAATGCAGCTTTTGAAACATGGAAATCTAAGATAACATCAAGAAAGCTACTAAAACAACTAGAGATGCTCATCAAGATCTAAACACAGCAGGTGGAATTTTTTTTGTGTTCACACAGGAATATATCTCAAAAAACTTTTTACCAAAAGCCAGTAATCCATACAAGAAATTCAAGAGCCTGCAAGAACAAAGGCAGGGTATTTTTCATACCTACACTTCTCTCTTAACACATAAAGATAAAAAAACAATATAAAATTCAAAGGAATTGTTCAGTACCAGCAGAGTTTAGCATGATTTCACATTTGTCTTTGTTTCTTTTAAACAAAAAGCCTAAATTACCACATTTATTTAAAACCAAAATAACAGGCCAAGGTGTCATGAATCAAAATTACAGAGAGGACTGAAGAAAAAACTAAAATAAAACACCTTGGCTCTTACACAGACAAATTTTCTGAATCCATGCTGCACAAGGCTGTAAATTTCCTGATACCAGTATATTAAAAATTAGCCTGGCTAATCAAACAGTTTATTGCAAGACCTACCTTTTCTGATCTATGCCCACTTACTTTTTTCACTGTCTCATTCCACTGGAAAGATTGATTTTTCCATGTAAGTACCAGAAGCAAGTAACTAAAGAAACCCCACAGCCCAATTTCCAATCAAAAAGTGCTGTCTGACATCCCATGCTCTGCATCAGCTCCTAAATACTGAACTCACACTTCCACTACATAGGTCTTCAAAAAACAAATCTCACAAGCAATGACAAAGCTCATTTCACACAGAAGAGCAGATGAAACTTTGTTCCTAATAGTTTTCACTGATACTTTTCTGTCTGAGGGCAAATCTTCCACCAATCTGCCTCCAGGATATCAAAATACATGTTTGCTCAGCTCTTTGTTCACTTCATAAGAGGTCCAAAAGCATTAGATGAAATTAGTTCATTCTTAAAATACTGAAATCAAAACAAGAGACAAAATCTGTGCCTCTAAGACCTCCTGGATAAACACAGTCTGTGAAGTGCAGGGTACCAGTTGCTTCTTGATGCCATTACTGATCTCATCTTACATTAATCTGATGATGCATGCATAAAATTATCTGCATGACACCAGAGCTGTCCTGACACCCTGGCACAAAAAGCTTTTCTGGTAGAAACAGCCACATTTTGAATCTAGAAAAGGTCTGGTTTTTGATCAAGTGGGGGAAAAAATGTCTCTCTGGATTTTAAACCCATTATTGAGCTCAAGTTTTAGAACTATCAATCTCATTTTCACCTGTTACCTCCATAATACCAAGGCTCTATTTTCCTTGACAAAGTTAGGAATTGTCCAATTCCTTAAAACATCTGAAAATTCAGTGTGATCACAGATCCAGGCTACTGGGCTCTGGCTGACAAACTATAGGAAAATGCTGAATGCAGTCAGGCAGATCCATGATGTGGATCAAAATCATTACTGGCCACTCCTTTCTTGCCACTTGAAATTGTGGAAAATTGACTGTTTCAAAACTGAAATGGAGACCACAGATCTACTAATCACTCCAGAAACTGATTTAATATTAAGTTTCTGTCTCCTCCACATGTTTACTGAAAGATGAAATTATGGTTGTTCCCTCATATTCAGGTTTGGCATAGACCATCTGAATGAGAGTAATAACTTTCTCTATGTAGTTTTATAGTGCCATAATGTTAACAACTAAAGTAAAAGCACATTACTACAAAAAGAGATAATAACTGTTTTGAAAAGAGTTTCTTAAAGTCTGTAAAACAATGCAAGGCTCACAGTGCTACATACTGTTTAGCCACTAGAAATAACTACTCAACAGTGCTTACTCCAGTGTTTTGAGATGAAAGGATTTAAATGCAATATATCTAAAACTGAAGCTGCTATGGCTTTATAGTACGATGTACTTGAAACAAAATTAGTGACCCTAACCACTTCAAATGAGGAACATGTACATTCTAAACCAACAAGCTTTACCTACATGCAAAAAGGCCAAGTATTTCTGTTCAATGAAGGTGGAAGGACTCTCTATGAAGCTTCTGAATGTCACATTTTATTTAACTGAGACCACATTTCACAGCAGCAGAAGCCTCCCAAAATAAACAGTACCATCCTTGGAAGGCTAAATTATCTGTGAAACATCATTTTACCTATATGAATTTACTTACACAAAGCTAGCTTTGGTTAGTAACACTTAAAATATCTGCTCAATGTATTTACCAGAAATATCTGAAATCACAGTCCAGTTTTTAGTGATTAGGGTTAATCCAATTGCCCACAGGAAGGCTGGAGAAATGACTTGTTAAGACTGAACAGCCACAGGCCAGAGTGCTGAACCTGAAGAGCAGCAATTGGTGGCTCAGCATGCTGCTGGCAGCAGGTAAGCACCACCACAAAGGCTGGAGCCAGTATCACACAGTATCTTCATCAAACACCTGAATATAACACAAAATTATTTCTCAAAGAACATGTGGATGATACTAAACAAGGAGGAGTTGGGTGACTCTCAAAAAAGAGATTTAACTCAGATATACCTTGATAAACTTGAGGAATAAGCCAACCTCAGGAACCTTACAAAGTAAAAAATTGTGCTCCTGGGTGCTCCAGTGTTGCCTGGGATCAGAGCAGTTAACAACAGCCTTAATGAGACAGATCTGGAGATCAGATTGTTTGTCAGGTTGAACACAAGCCAGGAGTCAGCTCTCACTGCAAACAGGGAAACCAAGAAGAGTGCAATCAAAGGAAACACAATGCTGGCGAGACTGAAGCTCAAATGCTGTGTTCTATTTCAAGTCCCCCAGGCAGAAAAGGAATTTGAGAACCTGGCAGGAGTCAGTAAAATGGCATGGAGTGTTGCTAATGAGAGGTGTCAGAAGAGGGGATGGAGCTGGGTTTCTTTAGTGTGACAGAGGCTGCCTGGGCTAATCACACACTAACTAAAGCTGAAGGCACCTTACATAAACATGGAAGCAAACTCTTCTGGTATCGTAAGTAACAGCTTGGGAGGTTCACTGGACATGAGAAAAAACACCTGCAAGGTGGTCTGGGGATGATCTCAGGGGTGTCCAAGACTCCACAGGCTAAGCCACAGACAGTGTACTCATAATCCTGATCAGGGGCCTGGACTGATGAGCCCCAAAAATGCCTTCCAACCAACACTGCCACACACCACAGCCAGCACTTTGACCATGCCACTCTCTCCAAACCAAAATTCAAAGTTTTAACAGATAGATAAGAGGTGGATTCAGCAGTGACCAAGGACTATCTTCTCTACCAGTTCAAACCCTAGCTACCTTACTTAAAGGCACACACACAAATACAGGCTTAGCATAATTTCAAAATTACTAGTTTATATACTGAATTAAGTAAATGCCTTACCAGAACAAACCTTTAGTTAGCACAAATTCTAGGTGAAGATCAGTGGTTTTCCCTATGAGATTAGAGTATTTCTACTTTGGAGTAAAACAAATAGAAAAAAAATTCAAGCATATTGTCAGTAGACAAAACATTAGTCCAATGTCAGTATCTGTATAGGGAAAACTAGGGAGGATTGGAGTTCAAGATCAGTGGAAGAGATCAGACTCCAGTTTAGATCTGATCTCTTCCTTTTTTTTAAGTCTGATAATTTCCCTTTATTTAATACACATACATACACACAC